GAGAACTTAGGTAGGTAACTCAAAATGCTTAAGTGCTGTTCATATTAAATGTTATCTCTTATTTAAACAGTATAATGAAGAATTTGCCATTTAATTTGTCTCCTTAGGAGCCACTGACATAACTTTGAAATTTAATTATAGTATTTTGAAAACTTATTTGATGTATATAGCAATAGCAATAAACATACTAGTTCATGTTTTACTTTTGCCAAAAGAACATTTCATAAGAATTAGAACAATGTGATTTCTCCTTTAAACAAATAAAACTTTTACAGGGATCTGATGAGACTATCCGTGTGGTGTCAATGGACAAGGATTATCACATAGAATGTTACCGCTGTGAGGTAACTACAGTGTTCTTGAATAAACAGTATATTAAACAAAGCTAACGATTTCTAGGAATTGTACATATCCATAGTTGAAAACTTTTATTCCGCAAGTGCTGGAAATCCAGCATGGGAAAGTAGAGATTTTAAATATTGCACTCAGTGTAATTTTTGCTCATTAGCAAACCTTGTTTAATGCATATAATTCTTTCAGTATATAGACTGGAAATACATAATTTGCAAATAGTTTTAAAAACTAGTTTTAAAAACAAAGTCTTGTAGTTCTTCTACTGTATTACTGTATTCTTCTACTGATTTTAACCAAGGCTAATATTTTATGTTTAAATTAAATTATAAATCCCTGAGAGAGATGGACAGCCTAGAAATGCAATAGATAGATAGATAGATAGATAGATAGATAGATAGATAGATAGATAGATAGATAGGGATGGATAAACAGACAGACAGATAAATATGCCATCCATGATAAGCCAATCCATAGTTCATTGGGGGGTGTTTTTAATAAAAATCAGAAGTAAACACCAGTTTTCAGCAAAAAATGTCAAATGGCAGTTACTGCAATCAGCAGTAAATGAAGGCCGATTACCGAGTTTCCGAAATGGGTCATGTGATCAGGAGATGGTGGCTGACAGACCTTTGGAAATACATACATACATACATATATACATACATACATAACCTTTTGGGGATTTGTTGTAATTTTGAATAGTCACTAAGTAATCACTTGTAAGTCAAGGACTACCTGTAAGTGCTATCTTTTGGTTTAAGATTTATGGCAAGAAAATCAGATTTCAGTCATCTTAGTTCTGCTGATAAAATGCTTCATTACTGATATTGTTTCTTTTCCTCTCCTCCCTCCCCCCCCCAATTATAAAGCCTGACTAAAATAGCATAGATATTGTGATATTTGCACACTCAAACAGTTCTGGGTATATTGAATTAGCTATCACAAAGAGTTATGTTTTTAATGAAATTAAAAATTGAATTTAGCCAATTCTCCAAAATAGAAATGCCTGGTTCTCAGATTCTCCTACATAATGAACCAATTAGCTTGATAAGAAGAGTGTTCCTTATCAATAGGGACTGCAGGCAGATACTTTTAGGGAGGTAGCATATTTTAATGATTTACTTTTAACATGAATCGGTTGACCGTTACTTACATCGAGCAATGTGAGTGTATTAATCAACATTCTATTTCCTTCTCTTTTACACAGGACTGTGGAATGGAACTCAATGATGAAGATGGTCACCGTTGCTACCCATTAGATGAACATTTGCTTTGCCATTCTTGCCATCTTAAGCATATAGAAAAAGGCACTAGCCCTGTAGCTTCCTATTGGCATCACTATTAGTTGGCTAATAGTGTTAAAAGTTTCCAGAATCCTGTCAAAGAATCAGTAATTTGGGGAAGCAGTTGTATCCATATGGGAGTGAAGATCTTTTATGTGCATAGGAGACTGACAGGATACATATGGTATTATCCAGAGTACTTGTAGTTTTTCTGCCCGTAGGCTGAAAAAGGGGAAAGTGATATTTGGGTCATTTGATAGAAAAACGTTAGAAGCAAATGTGATACAGCCTTCCAAACTGTAGGTCTTCAGATCTGTACAGTATATATGTCAATTATAGTTCCTACCGTCATTTGTGAAGATGCAGTATATTTTAAAATAATAGAAAATACTTGTAGCTTGGTTTTAGATTTTGGCAGAGGTTTGCTCTCCAAGCTTGTTTTAATTTAGTTTCTGAATGTTTGGTTGCCAGATTAGGTAACATCACCAGCAGGATTTTCTTGTCCTATTTTCTTTAGCTTATTAGATACAGTATACATTTTACTAGTTGGTCCAGATGGTGACTGGTTTTGAGTTCTGTCAATGTATTAATGGGCTGTCTTAGTGAGCTTAGTGTTAATTTTTTTTAATGCAGGTTGCCTTTTGCCTCCCCCTTTATAATTTGATCCAGATTTCTAAAATTGCAGATATTTTGAAAACAATTGATCTGGTATTTTCCCCATTTCATTTAGAGTCCAATCTTTCTACATAACGTCAGAAATGAGACATTATGTACATGTGTGAAATGCCAGTGGTCAGAATAACCGAGAGCACATATGGAGACAATTGATAGATGTAGCTACTTTTATAACTTTTATTTGAGCACTTGAAACAATTTGAGATGATATGAACTTCTGAGGTAATTTTGTTTAGAGAAACACTGAGAATTATCTGTACTGAAGGAATAAAAATTAATATCTATTTCTTGAATTCTTGGTCCTTAAATCATAGATGTTATGTTTAATATGTCTGATATTACATCTTGTGTACTTGTTACTAATTCTTAGGATCAACCTAAGCAGATTAGATAATGTTAATTTAATTTTTTGTCCCAGATGTTTATCATTTGATTATCCATATAATACCCCAATTTATTGTGTGTCAATAAACTAATTTCACATCTTTTCTGGTTTGTATGTCTAACTTTAGAAATGGTCTTAGTCCTCATAAAATTGAAACCATTGCAATATCACAAATTCTAGCATGCTGAGGTGGGTAAAACCATGAGATAGCTCCATATACAAAATGATGCAGAGGATCCCAGCAACATTTTAATAAGAATATTGCGCCATAGTTATGAAGTCTGTATTTTTATATATACAGAAATTAAACATTTCAGGTATACTTTAGGAGCATTGCCTTGACAAGATAGATGGTTGATTGTTAAGGAGGCACATTAGTTGGTGACACTACTTTCCACATTTGTACAAGTGCAAGTCACTTGCTTGCAATCTGGATTCTTTACAGAAGGCTTCTTCAAAAACATAATTTGGCTGTTAAGATGTTATAATTCTAAAGGAGATCCCATCTAAAATTTTAAGAAGAAGAAAGGAGTTTGCTTTTTTAGCAGGTGAACTTAAAAAGAGACGAATCTTGTTCAGATGGGATGTTCCGATTGGAATGGTGGTGAACTACCTGGGGATATGTTATAGACTTAATACTGTTTCTCAAGCAAAAGACTTTTATACTTCGGTCCTGGGGGTATGTTCATCGCCATCTATTAAGTTTAAAGTTTTGGAAGAAAAGAAGATAGAATTGCAGTCTGAAGAGCCTATACTTATGAAAATTGGGAAACCTCAGTTTGAGGGGCCTCAACAAGTTGAGATGGAGGAGCAGAGGATAACCTGTGCAACATATAACTGTAAAGAAAAGGAGCAACAGAAGAAGGTTAAGGAAGCCTCACAACTATTGGTTTCTGAATCTGCGGGAGAAGTAGGATTTATAAATTTTTTGGAGCAACCTTTAAGGGTAGAATTGCAGTCTGAAGACCCTATATTAATGAAAATTGGGAAACCTCAGTTTGAGGGGCCTCAACAAGTTGAGATGGAGGAGCAGAGGATAACCTGTGCAACCATATAACTGTAAAGAAAAAGAGCAACAGAAGAAGGAGTTTAAGGAAGCCTCACAAGTATTGGCTCCTGAGTCTGTGAGAGAAGCAGGATTTATAAACTTTTTGGAGCTACCTTTAAGGGCAGATTTCAAAGCACTTCTTTCAAGATTTATGGATAAGAGAGACTGACAAGGATGGAGATCGAATGAAAATTCTAGATAAGAAGTTTAAGTTTAAGTACTTAGTTTAAGTATTCAAAAGAGTACTGAGTCTGTGGGAGAAGCAAGATTTACAAACTTTTTGGAGTTAGCTTTAAGGGCAGTTTTCAAAGCACTTCTTTTGAGGTTTATGGACAAGAGAGACTGATAAGGAATGTGTTTATTGTGGATGGAATTTGTTATTGGTAAAGATTTAAATGTGTATAAGGGAATTTTAATGGTTTATGGACAAGAGAGACTGATAAGGAATGTGTTTATTGTGGATGGAATTTGTTATTGGTAAAGATTTAAATGTGTATAAGGGAATTCTAATGTTTTAAGTAATGTTCAAATTTGTGTTTTAGAGGGAGTTTATAAAGAATGATGATGTACCTAGATTTGTTTAGGATTTATATGTCTTTTAAGGTTTTTTTTTGATAGAAGATTATGGAGATTGAATGAAAATCTTAGATAAGAAGTTTAAGTTTAAGTATTTAGTTTAAGTATTCAAAGAGTATTTAGTTTTAATGGTATAATGAAGGTTTATATGTTTATTTTTGTGTTCTAGGATAAAGAAAGAGGGAGAGATTAGATTTTATATTGTAGGTATAGATATTCAAAGAAAGTAATGTTTAAATTTGTGTTTTGGAGGGAGTTTATACAGAATGATGGATAATAATATAAGTATGATACTAGAAAATGTTTAGAGTATATTATAATGTGTTTAATGATTGCAATTATTATTTTTTTAGAGAAGATAACCTATTTAATTTAATGTATTTAGATTTGTTTAGGATTTATATGTGTTTTAAGTTTTTCTTTTCTTTTTCTGAAAAATTTTAATTAAGCCTGTACTCAGCTCTGGGAAGGTTGGGGGAGGGTTTGGGAGGTTTGGGGAGGTGGGGGAGGGTATGGGAGGGTGGGGGGTTTGGGGAGGGGATTTGTTTTGTAAAATTTAAAAAACTTTCAATTAAAAAAACATAATTTGGCTGTTGTAAAATTTAAAAAACTTTCAATTAAAAAAAACATAATTTGGCTGTTGTCATTTCAAATTTATTTACTAAATTCATCGTACACCTTTTTTTTAAAAAAATTCTACATACGTTTTTCTTCATAGCCACAACAGTCATTCAATATAAACAATTGTAAGCTTTTGGGACTGATTAATTTATATAGTGGAAAGAAGTAAATAGTTGTTGCTAGAATAGGCAGGCAAAGGAACAGCCATCAAAATAACTTTTAACCCAAAAATTCTACATGTGCAAGCAGAGAGCAGAAGCATATTGTTTGTTTTTCAAAATATTGTTCTTCCTCCTGTTAATGCATTATTGTCTTCTTTCCACTCCAAACTTTCACCAATATCTGTAGTGCTTCAAACTAAAATTAAAGCAGACTTGAACAGAACTACCTGAGATAAGGCAGCAGACTTACCAGTGATGTTCCACTCATAATCATTTCAATCCTGATCCAAAGATGATGCTGCAAGCCTTGCTACTTTTCCCATAATCCCCCCCACTCTAAGTCAATCAATTATCCCTGCTTCTGTATTGATTAAGGTGGAAACATTGTTTTAAAACAAGAGCCAATTAATTGCAGCATTAGAAATTGCTGGAAAACTTAAAACCACATTGCTAGAAATGGTTACTTTTTTTTTTTTTGAGATGGGAACATTTATACATTTTTTCTCCAAGAGACTGAATTTATTTTATTCCAGCCTTCATTTAAAGGAGTTTATAGTAAAAAAAAAAAAAAGCTCATTTGCTGGTATGAATTTGATATGTAATTAGCTAATCAGATACAATGGTATAAAACAGTGGTACTTAGCATAATGCATAGCCATAGAACAACCTGCAAGATGTTGAAAATAATACAGTATGAATGATTTTACAAAGTTGATATTTGATGGAAGAAGGAATTTCATAATGTAAATGTTATATATATTGTACACATTGTCTAACATTCAGACACAAAAGACATTACTTTAAAAAAATTGAAGTTTTATTATTGTTTAAATATATTGTTTGCAACCTTTTTTATAATGCACTGGAATAGAGACATTCTCCCAACCTCCAAATTTAAAGAATTTGAGTTTCCATCTAGCAACTAGAAACTATCCAGATCTTTTTCTTCTGCTGCAATTATTTTTAAGAAATGCACAGAAGGATCAAGGAAGAGTCTTTTAAAAGAAAAACAACAACATAGAGACCATCCATTTAATGCACAGTTTTCTTGTATTTCCCACATATTTAAGCAGACTCAAACCTCTATTGCTTTCTTTAAACTAGATTATTTAAAAAGAAAACAGGAACAGCATGTATTTGTTACAAATAACTGAAAGGATAATCAAAAAAACAAAACAAAAACAAACCCCACCCCATTCAGTTAACAGTTTTTGTTTCCAAAGTTCATATAATAAGAGGTTCAATTTTTAAACAATGAAAATATTGTAGCAATCCGCTTAGTTTTAATTTAGGAGAGGAAACCTTATCTGCTGAAACTTGCTACAGAGTCTCCTAGTATTTAAATAACATAATTTCAGCTGAATTTACTAAAAATAATGCACTGCACTTGAAGCTGATTCATGTCTGGTTTTGAACATAAATAGAAAATAGATGACAGAATGGTTTTAAATTGGTCCTTGATTTAGGTATAGTTTCAATAGAAAGCTTGGAAGCACTAGAATTGAGACATGTATTTATTAATAATTAGCATAAGACTATATTATAGCTTGCTCATTTTGAGAGTTACAGTTGTAGAGAAATAGTTATGGCATGCACAAAAAGCTGATTTTGATCCCAAGTGGAAACATGGAATATTTCCAAAGAAAAAATTATCGAATATTCATTCAATTTTCCATAGATCATTCTTACTAAATCCAAGGCAGCAGATACAGTAACTGGATTGCCAATTTCAAAAATCCATCTCCATTTGAGATTCTTCAGAAAGAAATGAATACTTTGGACCTTTAGCATGAGGGTTTAAATAACCATTTTCTACATTCTTTGATTTCATGTACATCTTTTTTTTAAAAAAAAAAACTATTTGAATCACATGGAAATTTGTTATCTGAAGCTAAGAGCAACAGTTATTAAAGCAGCACAAGACATATCCCAGAAAAATCAGTTCTACGTCTCATCCTCACAACAATGTTTTAACAGAATATTGCATTATTTTCATCCATAGCTGGCTGAAGGAAGTTTTCTTCAGAAAAAAAAGTATTTTATTAAAGAAATCTAAGAAAACAGATGCTCTTGGATTTACGTAATTAAAAAAAAATAACCTTGTATTTGCAATATTACAAACTGACTATATGGATATCCAATCCGAAATCAGTAAAGCAGCAATTGTTACGATTAATAAGCAAAGCTTTTCCATGTACCAGAGAAGATAACTGATACATACTTTAACCTAGCAACAGATAGATCTCTTGACACACCAGAAGATCATAATCTTCCTTAGTAATGGAACTATCTAAGACTTCTTACAATATTATACTGCTGGAATAATACAGTCACAGATTCTTTAGGAATTCAGGTCTCCCTGTGTTAGGCACAGCGTTAGTGGCTTTCATTTCCATCTTGTGTATGCAAGTTCCCCAACAAATGCAATCATTGCAACTACAGAACAAAAAAGTCAGTCCCTTCCACCAAGTAACCAAGTGGAATCACTTTCTCACCCTTCAAAAATGAAACCTAACCCTGCCCCCAGACGTTAGTGTGGAAAGCAGGTCAGTAAAGACTCCATGTATGAACTGAGGAGTCATCTCTACCAAGCCGCTTTCCACACACACAAATTCAGTCCATTTTTTCCTTTTGAACCAGCCTAGGTGCATCTACAAAATCTTTGCCATTGTAAAGGATGATAGCAAGAGTTCCAAAACTTGCAGTTCCCCAGAACATCACGTAGGCCAGTGTCTCTGTCCATGTGTCCCCTGCAAAATGTAATAAATTCTTTTCAATTACAAGCCACAAAAATGGTGATCATGACAACTGCCTTCCCTTAAAAAAAAAAAACTCTTTTCTACATGATAAGGACAATCATCACTGTGGTGAAAGGTTATTCTAACATATGAACTTGTAAAAGCTATTTTCCCCATTTGTGAATTTGAAAGAAGATGATACATGAGGGGTATCAGGAATCTTGAAGATTTAAAACTCCAGAAAGCAAATTCAAACACTTCTGATTAACCTTTAATAAACTATAATAAGAAACTAGAAGACTGTGAATTCTAGTCCTACCTTAAGTACAAAGTAAGTAAAGTTACTTTGGACCAGTCATACTCTCTTTCAGCCCTGGGGTGATATCAACAAGCCACTTCTGAAATCTTGCAAAAAAACAAACAAACAAACAAAAAAACCCCCCAAAACCTCAATTTATGACTGTAAGGGAGTCTAAGTATCATGATCATAAGTCATGATACTTGTAAATGGGTCAATAGCATGACCAACCCAATTTTACAACCTTTCTTACAGCAGTCATTAAGCAAACCAATGGTTCACTATAGGTGCAGTTTTGCTGAAAATTGGATGTAAATGCTGGTTTTGGCAAAACCATCATAAAATGCTGTCATGTGACTATGGGATGTTGAAAATGGCTGTAAATGCAATCCACTTGTCAAGTGCCCAAAGTTTGGTCACATGACCACAGGGACCACTTTGAATCCAGGCTGTACCACAGAGAAATCTTGTAACTGGTGATAAGTCTTAAGTCAAAGACTATCTGTAATATGGTATGAAGTTTAGAAAGGCTGAATGATTACTTACCAGCCATAAGCAAACAGATAATGCACATTGAAAAAGCAACTACCATAATGATAGGTAACTGGGAAAAGAAAGAAATGCACATAGTTAGGAGGTAATGCACAATGCATAACAACTTGAAAGTCCGGTTATATATGATATACATACAGAACCCAATAGTACAGTATTATAGCTTCAGCTCCCAAAAAAGTTTTAAAAGTCACAATACATATATCAGTCCTTAACGTTTCTAAGAACATATATAATATTTTAGAACATACAGTATGTCATCATGAAAACCTATTATGCATCCCAAATACAAAACTGATGTTGCACACTGCAAAAGAAAATCTCTTGTTGTTCAGTGCATATTTCTCATATATAAAATAGAAAATATTGTCAATGATGCTAAATTACATATTTAATCTAGTTCTAAAAGAACCAGATTCTCTCTAAACAAATTTAAAGAAAAAAGTGAAGTTGGTCAACAAACAAGAAGTTTGCCCTGTAACTCCATCTTTGTGTCATCTGGAAATGAGTGGCGACCTGGTTTTTTTTTTAAGTAGAATAGCAAAACAGATACTTTAAGATTTATTCTTTCCATCTCTCTCTCTCTCAAAAAAAGGCATGAACATTTGTTCACAATCGCTTCCCAGCTTTCTTTAGTATACATTTTTTTTAAAAAAAGAAGAGGCCTTGACTACAAAAACTTTGCTATGTCTGCTTTTTCTATTAAGCTTATTAAAAACACAAACTAAAAGGCGCTGAATTACTATTGCCCATAATACTAAATGCAACTTTCTGACCTATGAATTTCCTCTTGAATTACTAAACAAGAAAATCCAATTATTAATTTACATTTCTTTTTCTAATCTCATAAATTGCATGGATGGAAAAAAAGCTGAGAAAAAAACTGCATTCAGTGCATTAATCTCTTTTTAACATTTATAATCACTCCTGCAATTCCACTTGTTATCCTCTGCCATTACAAAATTACACAACACATTTAAGTACAAAGTACAAAGCTATGACAATCAAGTCATCTTATTTCACTCTGTCCAGTATAACCCGTGATAATTACAGCTAAAATCTTCCAAACACAACAAGATGTGATACCACAGTTTTAAATTTGCTTTCAAATACTGCCTTGTTTGGAAGTCACTGGCTATGATTGGGGATTAGATAGAGTAGAAATTTCTGGTAAAGAAGGTAACATGTTAGCACAGGGGTCTGCAACCTTGACAACTTTAAGACTTGTGGACTTTGGCTCCCAGAATTCCTCAGCTGAACTGAAGTCCACAAGTCTTAAAGTTGTCAAGGTTGCAGACTCCTATGTTAGCAGATAGGAAGTCAGGTATGGGCAGCCTGAATCAGACTACTGCAAGACTTAAAGTTCATTTCCAAAACTGTTTGAATTTCTACATAATTCTCAACCCTTAGGAAAAAGAATGAGACTCATCTAACAAACTTGGAATTCTCCCTTACAGTGAATATTTATATCGTAAAAATATGTCCTACATTTTATAAAACAAAGTTTGGAACTGCTGAAAGACCTGTAATCACAAACTTCATTAGTCTAACCAAATTCAACAATTTTATTTTTAAAAAATAAACAAATAGCGAAACATTTATAAAATTCTTACAGCCAAAAACTTCCAGTCTTTCTGTATGTGAAAAGGACTGAGAGAATCTACTTCATCCACTGAATAATTTCCAAGAAAGAGATCTATAGCATCCTGAAAAACAACCCAGAATATAAATTAAATGCCATGTCACCTTAACCATTTCCCCCTACCCCAAAGTACTTGATGGTCTTCAAAACACAGTCCAACTTGTGACAATTTAACAAAGCAGCAGAAGCTCTGTGAGGGATTTACAGTAGGTGGTTTAGTAATAAGAAATATAAATAAATATCCATATCCCTGAGCACAGTGATGACATTTTTTTAAAATTCAATACAAAGCAACAGCTAAAGCTAAATAAATGCAACAAGTGACAATGTCAAAGCTTACCTGTCTAAACCCATCAGAAAAGTTGTTTTTATAGTAACGAATTAGTGAGTTCCAACCATCCATTAACAGGCCCCATTGTGTTCTCTTTCCAGTTCTGAATTTTTGAAAATAGGATTTCAACATTAATACAGAAGATCTCTCAAGAAAATCAGAAATTTAGTATCAGGTTCTGCCATACTAGAAACTGAACTGTATTGAAATTCCTTGTATCGACTTATTTCTGTAAATATACAGTTGAGATGCACCTGTTACAAGTAGCCCTAAACGTATAGCCTTTCATTCATTTGAATAGTGCTGAAAAAAGTGACAAGTGACTGTTTTTCACATTTTTAACGACCGTTGCAGCATCCCCAGTCACATAATCATAATTTGGATGCTTGGCAACTGGCATATGTTTATAACAGTTGCAGTGACCCAGGATCATGTGATCACCTTCTGCGACCTTTTGACAAGCAAAGTTAATGGGGAAAGCCAAATTCATTTAACAATTGTGTTAATAACTTAGGAACTACAATGATTTATTTAACAACTGTGGCAAGAAAGATAATAAAAGGGGGCAAAACACACTTAACAGCTGTCTTAGCAACCGAAATTTTGGGCACAATTGTGGTCCTAAGTTGAGAACTACTTGCATTAATTTTATTTATACTGCTCTTTCAGTAAGTGTTACCTTCATGATTAAAAGGGAGGACTAAGTCTTATTAGGCTATTATAATTATACCTGTTTTTGAAGTAAGAGAATTTTTCTTTCTGCTGTCAATCAAAAGAGAAACCAACAAATTCCAAAGCCCTTGCAAATGTTAATAGGCCCTTTGAGAACAGCACGGGACAGCTAGGCATGGCCGTCTCGCCTCTGCCAAGTTGCCTCTGCCAACTGAAAATCATTGCAGGGCAACTGAACATGGCCAATTCGCTACAGGAACAACTCGCTGCGGGCAGCTGGAAGCAGAGCCAGGCACGCGGACGGACAGGTGAGCAAGCCAGTGGGCAGAGCACAGAGCGCTGGTGGTGACCAGGAGCTTCTCACCAGAGGGAGAGATGGATTGGTGGGTGAGTTAGTGGGTGAGCAACAGAGTGGCGGGAGTAGCTTTCCATTTCCACACCTCTGAGGCCACTGCTGCTCCCATACTGAACTCTGGGCTGTTCAGCAGTGGCAGTGGTGTTTGGGCCATTAAGGGAGGTGGTGAAGACCAGGGCAAATGGCCCCAATTCCAAATGGCCTGGAACTTGGTGCAATGGCACCGATGGTCATGGTGTGGGGAAATGGGAAGCCCCTGGCTGCTGCCACTGCTCTCTGCTCTATTCACTCATTTGCCCACCCACATAGTTCTCCCTCCAGTGAGAGGCCCCTGGGGAGGTCCCTGGCCAGCACCACTACTCTGCACTTTGCCCACCTGCTCAGTCGCCTGTCCACCTACCCACCCAGCTATCCCTCTGGCTGGCTGTTATGCAAAGACTTAACAGAGGTGAGTTGGCAGAAGCTTGGCGGTGATGAGCTAGTCATGTCAAGCTGATAGCACTGAGTTCTTCTAGACCAGAGGTAGGCAACCTTGGCTCTTTTATGACTCGTGGACTTCAACTCCCAGAATTCCTGAGCCAGCCTCCCCCTGTCCTAGACTCTTTTGAGAAGACTATCTTCCTCTTCCTGCAAATTTACATCAAGTTTTTCCATTGATGTAGCTATTAACTATTACACTATTACATTATGATGTGAGTTTAATATATCAGAAAGGAAATTAACAATCTCTAAATACTCTTCCTGAAATCATATCAATATATTTGTTGTAAAGAAAGGCTGACTCAAACTTGCCTGGTATAGTCTGTCTTTAAGGCACCCGTTCCAGCATACTGTTTGGCACAAGCATTTGCGTTATCAGCCCATGCTACGAACAGAGAATAGTTTTTTGTAAAAAAGAGATAGCAAGTAAGTAGAATACAGGATAAGGTTTTACTTATCAAAATAGAAACCCACCATTTTTATAAATTTTCTCAAATTCTGCTTGTTCTTCAAGTCTCTGGGTAGCATGCAAAACACCTAATCTCTACAAGGATAAAAGAAACCATTATTAACTAAAATTCTTCTAAGAGTTTAAAAGCATGGAAATTAGAACTAATTAATGTTTCAGAAAAACACCCATACACAGAGGCATATATGCATGTTCTAATATATCACTTCCAAGAAAAGTACATCTTGTATACCAAATGGCTATTAGAATTATTACATTCTTTAATTATTAAAATACCAGCAATAGGTCCTTATACAGAAAGCAATCTTAACCTGCAGCTGTGATTGTAGAGAACGGTGTGCTAAAAGGCTCTGAATCACATTTGTCCTGTCCAGGCAATCCATACAGTTGCTGCGGAATATTCCTTCCTGTTGCATATCCACCTTTCCTTCTGCATCAACTAGAAAATAGCTGAATAAAAAAAATATTGATTTCAACTAGCCTTCATCTTTTGTCCGCCAAAGAAATTTCCAAGATATCTTACCAACAGCAATAGAAAGGATTAGATCTAACTATATTTGTAACTACAGACAACTCACGTAAGACAACAAAGATATTAAATACACAAGAGCTTCTTTGGCTAAAGATATATCATATTAGAAAAAAGCTTAATGTTTATAAGTTTGCAGATAGGTAGCCCTTTACTTTACAAGCTCATTTAGTGACAGAAGTTACAACAGCACTGAAAAAAAGTGATTTATGAACATTTCTCACACTTACAACAATTGCTGTATCCCCATGATCATGTGATCAGAATTCAGATGCTCGGCAACTGACTCATATTTATAACTACTGTGATGCCTCAGGGTTTTGTGATCATCTTTTGTAACTTTCTGACAAGCAAAGTCAATGAGGAAGCGAGATTCATTTAACAGCTGTATTACTAACTGAACAACTGCAGTGATTCACTTATTAATTGTGGCAAAAAAATGTAAAATGGGGCAAAACTCCCTTAATAAATATCTTACTTAGCAATAGAAATTTTGGTCTCAATTGTTGTAAGTCGAGGACTGCCCATTTGTAAATCTATAAACAATTGGAAATAAGCACTAAGCCATTTTTCTAATAGAAGACTATTTATATTTTCTAGAAATTCAAATAATGAAATTAGCCAGTTTCCTAACAATAACTTTTTGCAAATTCAAATATATCCAGATTTATCTATACATTTAGTTGACAGAAACAATACACTGTATGACAAAAGCACAGACAAATCTTTATATTCTTAAATACAATGAGAAAGATAATGAGATCTTTTGGATTACAATTCTATACAAATTCAAATGGATGTGCACTCCATGGGTAATAATCCATGGGCTTTCTATTACAGCCTATACAGGTCTGTGCTCAGATCATCATATTTAAACATTACCAAAAGAATGTTTTTTTTGGGGGGGGGAAGTAAACAGGCATATCAGGCATCTGCTGTTATTAGGCAGTTTCAGCTATTCAACAATGATATGTTTGCCTACTGTACTTCAGTTGCATATATTACCCATATTCATCTTGTGGTGCAGCAAGTTGATCTAGTAAAATTTGGAGTCTATCCCATCTCATATGACTGCATTCTTTATGAAAATCAAAGGCTATATATCTGGGCAAAGAAAGAACATGTGAATAAAGAAAGCATTCACTAATACTTGAAAAAGGATCATGTAGACAAAAGGCTTATAAAAAATAAATATTCTGAGCAATTTCTACTAAGCAATGGTAAGATTTTCCTTCAAAATGCAACATCCATATAACTATTTTTAAATTTTGTTTTATTATGGGGACAGTAAAAATCTATACTGGACAGCAAAGTCATACAGGTAAGGTCAAGAAATGTTCCTCAAGAAACATTAATGATATTAAGCACTGAATTTTTAAAAATAATCTTTATATTGTGTAACATTTTGCATTCTTTACTCTTCATGAATGGGTCTACAGCTTTTTGCTTTCTTTCTCAAACAAAAGCAAAAACTGCTGAAGATTACCTTTCCCAAAATTATAGGATACTCGGCCTACTATTAGTGCATTCAGAATTTCTAATTATAAGCTTACCCATCTTGGAAGTTCTTATAGTAAGTCCTGTTCCACTGCCAATGTCTTAGATTTAAGATACCTATAACAATCATTGTACCTTACATATTCCTACCCCACCTTGGGGCTTACTTATAGGAGTTATGAAACTTTTAGAGAGATATATGTATTTTTAACATTTTACCATGAATATGTTATCAACACAATCATAAAATGGCTTCCATAGTGGCCATTAGCATTAGATCTGCCCATGCTATATGTGGCATATCAGGCAGCAAGGGATCTTCAGCATTTTCGGTCTTGGGTGAGTCTTCCAAGAATGTTTTTTGCCATGTATTTCAAGGATATCCTGTTGGCCATTTGTCATCGGAAGGGGGAGTCTATCTTATTTCCATCTTGGAGATTTGATTGTTCTCCATGCAAAGAATATGATGTATAGGTTGGAATCTTCTGTGTGTAACAATGTTATATAGTTTGCTAAAGAAACTTTTTGGAGCATTTCTTCTTTAATAATATGGTCAAAATAGCAAATTTTTAGGATTCGTTGGAAGGAATCTTTATTGGAAGATGTCAAGTTTCCTGTTAATACTTACTGACGCCTTCCAAATCGCACTGTATCATGGAGAGACAATCTCCACTTCTGATTAATACAAATAAAATTGATTTCATTGAAAAGGTAACCATCTAGTGATTGCCAGGTCATCTTATGGATTTGTGAATGTTAAAATGTGTTTCCAACACACAGTCCATTATATTCACAGGTGTCAATCACTCTCCATTATTATAAGCTGAGTTGAAGATGTGTGTGCTCTGATCACATTCTCTAAGCTATGCTGATCATCTCCAAACTGGGTATTAAAATCGTCAATTAGGTTCCTTAAGTCATAATCTGGAATGCTGTCAAAAGTATTTTGTAGTTAAGGTGATAAGGTATGCCAGAACGAAGGAAAGAAGCTAGTGGCATATGAGCTTTATAAGAATTTATACAAGGACGACGAAAAGAGAAATAACTATGACATAGTACAATATTTACAATTAGCCAATTTACCCAAGGTGCCAGAATTTAAAACTCTTCTGAATAAAGAGATAACACATTTAGAGCTCTCAGTCGCAATTAAGAAACAGAAGAATAATAAAGCACCTGGGCCAGATGGTATACCTGCAGAAATGTATAAAATTGCACAAGAATCTTTAAGCCCAATGCTGTTGGATTTATTTAATGAGGTTTTAACCCAAGCTAAAATACCAGCCTCATGGGAAGAAGCCTTCCTCACTTTGATTCTTACTTATGGCAATAATGGCGCCAAGATTTGAAAGATTCTTAGTGGATTTTATACATACTGATCAAAATGGCTTTCTATCTAAAAGATATATAAAAAACAATATTAGGACTGTTTAGGACACATTGGAGCATTATGAAGTACATAATGAAAAGCAAATGTGTTTAATTTTTCTTGATGCACAAAAAGCATTCGACAATGTAAAATGGGATTTTATGTTCAAGCAACTATTGTATATGGACTTTGGGGAAAATTTCTTAAATATGTTTAAATCAGTTTATTCTAAGCAGGTGGCCAAAGTAATAATCAATGGAGAACTGACTGAGAGTTTCCAAATTCAAAAAGGCACGAGGCAAAGTTGCCCACTATCACCACTGTTGTTTATATTATCTCTTGAGGTATTAACTAGAGTAATCCGGCAAGATGAAGAGATCAAAGGTTTAGAAATCAAGAAAGAGACATTTAAAATACAAGCCTTTGCAGATGATTTAGTCTTTATAATTGAAGAACCACTACAGCCAGGGACAAGACTGATGGAAACACTGAATAGATACGGGGAAATACCAGGTTTAAAGATAAATAAAGAAAAAACTAAAATGCTTGTCAAAAATATGACTAAAATACAGAAAAATGAATTGGTTGACAGAATAGGTGTTCAAATCACAAATAAAATTAGACATTTAGGGATACAATTGACTGCCAAATGCGCTACAATTAAAAGGGATAACTATGATAAGTTAATAGAACAGATTCAAAAAGTCTTTGATATTTGGACTAACCTACAGCTCTCTCTTATGGGCAGAATTGTGGTGATTAAAATGAATGTGTTGCCAAAAATCTTATTTTTGTTCCAATGTATACCTATAAAATTAGACAAGAATTTTTTTTCAAAATTTGAATAAAATGATGTGTAAATTCATCTGGCAAGGAAAAAGAGCAAGGATTAAATTAAAATTATTGCAGGACTCAAAGGAAAGGGGGGAATTTGGTCTTCCAGACCTGGAGAAATATTACCAGGCTGCAGCATTAGTATGGGTAAGAGATTGGATATTACTAAAAAACAGGAGACTATTATGTCTGGAGGGCCATGACCTACAAATAGGATGGCATGCCATATTATGGGATCATAAATATAAAGTACATAAATATTTTCGAAGACACTATATTAGGCAAGCTCTTATTGATGCATGGACAAAAATTTGGCAACCAAATTATACCCAAGTACCTAGTTGGATCTCACCATTAGAAATATATGTACACCCAAAATTTACCCAATTAGACAGGACCATAACATATAAAAATATCTTAGATGAAAGAGGAGAATTGAAATCCAGGAAAACCCTCCAGGATGAAGGGATAGAATTAGAATGGTGGGCATACCTGCAACTGCAGGCAAGATATTGGAAAGACAAAAAAGAATTAGGCATTAAATTAGAACCAATAGAATTGGATAAAATAATATTGGGGTCAGAGGATAAAATGATTAAAAAATTATACCACTATTTGTTAGATCAGGCAATGTACGAGGAACAAGTAAAAGTGACTATGTTGAATTGGAGTAAGGACTTTGGTCTTAATTTTGATCTGCACATCTGGCAAGAACTATGGGCAAGAAACAAGAAGCTTACTTTGGCCACCTCTTACAAAGAGAACCTTTACAAAATGTTTTATAGATGGCATCTCCCACCCATAAGATTGGCTAAAATGTGTACCAATGTCTCCCCTAAATGTTGGAAATGTAATTTGACAAGTGGAACTTACTATCATATGTGGTGGGAAAGCACGCGAGCTCGTGATTTTTGGAATAAGATTAAAGTATGGTTGGAAGAAATATTAGAGCAAATGGTAGAACCAAAACCAGAACTCTTTCTATTAGGTTTAACTACACAAAAGCATGACAAAGGCGTATTTTATTTAATGCTACACATTTTAACGGCTTCCAGACTGGTTTTTGCTCAAAATTGGAGGAATAAGGGAACCCCAACGGAAGAAGAGATCCTGTATAAAATTTTATCATGTGCTGAGATGGACAGGCTTACGATGATTATGAAAGACAAGACAGAACACGAATACTTCGAAATCTGGGGCAAATTTTAGCGTTGGTATGAATCAAGGAGAACTGCTCGGACTTCAAGTTAATGGTAGAATTAAAAGATATATATATATAACTGTACATATAATTGTATATATAATTGTATTGTATAAAAGATAAGGCTTATATAGAGGTTAAGAACGATGTGTTAAGCTTTTGTACCATGATAGGAACTGATAGGAAAACTCATTCTGGAATGTTGTGTTTGTCCATTGTTGTTTTAATTGTATTATGAATAAAAATATTTAAAAAAAAAGTATTTTGTAGTTGTCCATAAAATTTGTCCTTTGTCATATTGTTTGAGTTATCTATTGGTGCATAGGTTTGTATAACAATCACTTTGATATGTCCATGTGCAAAGTGAGATGTAATTATTCTATCATGGAGCAGTTTCCAGCGAATGAGATTTTATTTCTTTACTTTCTTTCCTTTTCCATAGTGGTCTCCCAGTCATAGGACACTGATTTACTTTACCTTGCTTTCTACTACTTTCTCTAGTTTTATAGAATGCTCACCTGAGATCTGATCTGTCACTTTTTGGTTAGATAGGCATACTTCCAAACAAAGGAGGAAGGAATAGCTCCCTTTCACTTTTATTTTCTAAACACATTTTCAGGGGATACAGCATAATTAGAAATAAAAAGTATGTTTTTATTAGGAGAGATGAACAGAAAATTATACTGCAAAGCAAAATCCTAAATTTTATTTCTAGTATGCTTCTGGTAAGGCAAGAAGCCTCATAGGCAACAACGAGGTCTGCAGGGACATGGGCACACATTGGATCACGTTAAGAAAAAAAAGCTTTTGCATATGTGCCATAATATGAAGGAAAATATTTGCTCTTTAAAGCAAATTATACCATAACCCCTTATGTTGTTTGCAAAACTAAATAAAGTTTAAAAGAAATCTATGCAGCTCTAAAATACATGTCAGCGTTCTCATCCACAGAAGATCAGACTGTATAGATACTTTACTAAATGTTCTAAATCAGACATGTCAAACTCACGATGTCACATGACATCACGCAACATATCGGGACTGTTTTGCCATTGCTGGCAATGGGTGAGCGTGGCTTCCATGTGACACGGATAGCCCACAGGCTGGCAATTTGACACCCTTGCTCTAAATCATCAATTATATTGAAAGTGATGAAAGCACATTCCATTAATACATACTTGACCATTCCACTTCCTAAACCAGCTACCATTTTGGAAAAAGTTTGTTCCAGAGGCTTTTCTGAACCTTTCTGGTTAACCTGTAAAAGAAGGACAAAACAGTTACATACAACATCAACAACAACATTAATTCTTGGATATAGAATTAAATTAAAATCCTACCAGATTAACAATCATTTGTTTTCCATAGCTAATAATCTGTGAATCAAAGTGTCTTTGGAAGCCATCCATCTAAAAGAGGGTACAATACATATATTGAATAGCTGTTATAGAAGAATTCTTTTGAACAGAAATACAAACTGATACATGAAAATAACAGAAAGATTATGATAAACACAATATATATTTTGAATTGCATTTGAATTAAATTGTACATCTTTTTCACAAATGTAGCAGATGATAGCATGACAGTTATATTAAGAAATAACTCTTTATCTGAACTTTTGTTCTTTTAATTCCTCCACAAATTTGTTTCTGATGTGAGAGATTTATCTGCCATAAGTCTTGGAGATGGGAATGGGGGGCAATGAGAAAAATCCCTAGTTCTAACATCAATTTAAGACTCTTTTACTACAGAGAGCAAGATTCAGGCGTATTTTGTTGATTTAAAATCACCCTGCTCGATGTTTACATCTCATGGAACTTTAAGCTTGTAAGAGTTGCATGTACAACATAACTGGAAGATGTCCCATTGGAAAAGACTGAAAAAACCTTCAGGGTTCATGGAAGATATTACTGGAAACAGAAGACATTTTCAGCCAAAAAATGTAATATGAATAGTTTCATAAATGAAACTTCAGCCACCCAATGTAAATAGCTTAATAAATAACTGAACTGCTATTTTGAGGCCTCACAACATGAGCAGTACTTTAAGAGACAGAAGATGGCATGTTAAAAATGTTTAGCATCATTGAACTGCCTAATTTCAATGTCAGAGAGGCTTGGTTAATGTTAAATGAAGGTGCTAATGCATCAATATTTGTAACTTTCATATATTGCTGTACATATTTAGTTCGAGATTACTTTAGGCAGGAGTTTCTGGGGACTACTAGGCCCTGAAGTGGGTTGCCTTTCAATATATATATCATGAGGACTTTCTGTGTCAATCTGAATCAGTCAGAATTGTTTTACAACAAGCTCGCAATCCAGTTTTTTTCTCTGTGGCTTGGGCAATTTCTTTCCTTTTAGTCTGATGAGATTTCCTGGGACAGGGGAAGCCAAAGAATCAACTCCTTCAATCTTCTGAAGAGCTGATATTCACTTAAAGCACGGGTGTTAAACTCGCCATGTCACGTGTCACAGTGTATCACGACTCTTTTTGCATTGCCAGCAATGGAGTGGGCGTGGCTTTAGAATGTTGAAACTGGCCTATGGGCCGGCAGTTTGACACTCCTGGGCTTTAAAGCTGTAGCAAGAAGCCGCTTGGGTGAGACCATTCCTTTAACCAAATACAGATACTAAGACTTGCCTGGTATGTCCTAATAACTCTTAATTGCCTATTTACTTTCTGTAGCAGAGTAAGAGATTTTTTTTATTTGCAGATTACTTTTTCCTTTTGTTGAATAATGTCATTTAGCGAATTTTGGTAAATAAAATAGCAAGGAGAAGGGAGTGACTAGTTCATGTAGAAGTAAAGAAACTTGCACTTTGCTGTTTTTTTTCCTTCAGACTGTCTTAAGCTAATTGCAAATTAACGGCCATAGAATCTTCTTTAATGAATTGGGAGGTTTTTTTCCCCTTCCAGTCCTTTGTTTTGTCTTTTTGGATTTATAAAGTGTGTTTTGTGAGGGAAAGAAACTTTTTGATGAAGGTGGGGCATGATTGCAAAAGAACTTTGATTTGCCTTTGTCTTGTTGTATTTAACTGCCATCATAACATTAACCACAAGAGGGAGCAAAAAGCTAATTTGATGAAAGTTGCAGAAATCTGGATAGAATAATTTTTTTAGACACAAGAGGGAGCTAAATATCATAAGATTAGAAAGCTAGCATTGAAATATGAAATTTAATATAAAATAGAAAAAAATACATCAATGGCCTTTTATAGCTAGTTTAATACAGAATGTATTTTTCTGGTATAAATATTATTTTGTAAAATTTAGTAATTTAAAATTTAATTTAGCAAAATTAATAAAATTTACAAAATGGCCAGGAGACATAAGGAAAGAAGAGGATCAGGAGACCCTATGAGGGCTATTTTGGAAAAATAACCAGCTAAAACTACAGGCAATAAAGGCAAAAATGGATAACATAGTCAAAGAACTTCAGGAGGAGAGGCATCAAATTGTGGGGGAGGTCAAACTGATAAATGAGAAAGTAGATTTTTTTTTGGAACATAGAATGGACATCAAAGATTTACAGTATGAAGGAAATATGGATAATTTTGCCTTCAATTAAGATTTTGTGCTAGCCCTGAGGAAGCTGGGGAGAATGTAAGAAGTAAAATAGTCAAACTTTGGCACAATTATTGAACCTTAAGGAAGAAAAGATGTATAGGGAAGAGGATAAAATTTAGAGGATAAATTCTTGTTATGCTATGACAGGAAAATCCAAAAATGTGCTAGTCCATTTCAAGAAGAGGAGAATAAGAGATCAAGTTCTGGATTGTCACTTTAAGACTAAATTGTAGTTGATAAAGTAGAAATAATGTTTTGAAGGAAATCCCCATCAGAATCCTGAAGAAAAGAAAAACATATGCCTTTCTGACAGATATTTTTAAAAAGAGAAAGATTCCATTTCTTTGAGATAAATTGAAAGGGGCAATCTTCATATACTAAGAAAGAAGATTCAGACTGAGTTCTACAGAGAAAGCACAAGACTTTCTTCTCAAACACATACTCATTGTAGACCAGACACAAGAAACGAGAGCAATGGAGAACAAACTTGATCCACAACAAAATCAAAAAGAGTTAGTAGATTCTGGAAACAAGAAGTGATGGAAGGAGTAGCTGTACAAGATTTAGATTTATCATCCTCTTAGGAAAAAAAAAGGAACTTAAACACTTAATGTGGAATATTAATAGAGCTATGCCCTCTCAAAGTGGAAGAAAGTATTTCATTATTTGAGGAAATTAAATTTGGGTATATTTTGCCTGCAAATGTAGGTAAATAGGTACTACTCAGGTGGGAAGGTAACAGTATTCTGTGTGCCTCAGCATAGAGTCATGCTGGCCACATGACCACAGAAGTGTTTTCAGACAATGCTGGCTCTCTCAGCTAAAAAAATGGAAATGTGCACTGTCCCCTAGAGTCAGACACAATTGGACAAGGGAAACCTTTATCTTTAGCCTACAAGAAGTTCATATTAAAAAAGCAGACAGAAAATATTTGGTTAATAGAAAATTAGGAGAGGAATTTATCTTGGCAGGATTAAACAAGAGAAATAGAGCTGTCTTATATGTAAAACATTAGCTAAAACATTAGCTAGAAGAATCAGATGAGTATGGTAGTTTTGTAGCAACAGAGATGGACTTGAATGAGATAAAGACAATGGTAATTGGAATTTATGTACCAAATGAAGACAATAGAAATTTCTTGAGTATCTTATGGACCAATTAATATCATTTACTTAAGGCAATTTTGTGTTTGCTTGGTGACTAGAATAGTGTTACTTCGCTGACTCTCAACAAAACATCAAGTAAAGGGATACAACCTTGACAAGGTAAACTACCACAAGTCTTTTTTGAGTTGATGGACAATTTAATGTTTATTGGAGAATTAGCAAGAGGCCACACCTTTTTTTCCAGAAAGACATAAATCCTTTTCAAGAATAGATATGATATGGATTTCCAAAACTAATGAAGTCTCAAAAGTGGATATTTTGCCTAAAACCTTTCTGGAATACAATCCAGTTTTTCTGACATTTAGAAGAAGGACATCACAGTTCAGATGGAGATTGAATGAGATTATACTATAGAAGGAGAATATTTTAAAAGACTGTAAAGAGAAACTGAATGAATATTTTAATAATTTGGGTAAAGGCGGAGGCTTAATGACTGTTTGAGAAATGATCAAAACTGTTATGAGAAATTATTTCATCCAATACAATCATTTAGAAAAACAAGAAAACTCAAAAAATTGCAAAAGATATTGAATGTACTTTAAAAGAAAAGAATTTGGTTTGCACAGACACCAAAAGACTCAAATTTTACATCAAATTAAATTACTATGCCAACAACTATCAATGTTGACTGTTCAGAAAATGGAAATAAAATTGAACTATGCAAAACAAAGTTATTTGAGTTTGCAAATAAACCAGGAAGATGGTTGACATACAGACTAAGAAAATTGAGAAAAGAAAGAGAAAAGACCGTGACTGGTAAGGTATTGACAGATAATAATTCTATTAAAAATTTATTCTATAATTTCTATTTCAAATTTTTTAAATTACTGTACTCTATTTTAATTTCATTTTAGACTGTATTTTATTCCAATTTCATTTTAAGTCATATTTTACTCTAATTCTATTTTAAACTGTATTTTATCAAATTTCATTTTAAATTTCTTTTGTCAAACTTTAATAATAATTTGTTGCTGAAACTTTGCACTTTGATATGGCCCAAAGGCTAATCAATAAAGATTTATTATTATTTCAAATTTGTACAAGGGAAAGAACACAAACTTACAAAAATATTTGAATACCTTTTAAAACAACAGCTATTGAAGCTTTCACAGGGGCAAAATAATTTATGAATGATCTTATAACTAATTTTGAAATATCAGATGCTATTAAAAAGATGAAAATGGACAAAGAACCAGGCCCAGATGGATTTTTAAGTAATATTACAAATGTTTTGAAGGCCAACTGTTGAAACCACCAAGAGGTAATGACTTCTGTACTACAGGGATCTAAATGCCTTAATCATGGAGGAAAGCTAATATTGCCTTGCTTTCAAAGGAAGGTCAAGATGCTAACAGTGATAAAAAAAAACTATAGACCAATTTCCTTATTAAATAATGCATATAAACTCTTTATGGCAGAGTTTGTCAAACTCGCAACATCACGTGACGTTGCGCAACATATCAGAGCTTTTTCGCCGTTGCCGGCAATGGGGTGGATGCGGCTCTGGTATGAAGAAACCGGGCCATGGGCCGGCAGCTTGACACCCCTGCTTTATGGCAATGTTGAGGAAAAGAATGAAGACGATTTTGAACAACTTTATACATGAGGACCAACTTGGCTTTTTATCAAAAACAGGGATAATATCAGAATGTCCTAAATGTTACTGAATATCTGCAATATCATAATGAAACCCAGACAGCCTAGATTCTTAGAAGCAAAAAAAGCTTTTGACAATTGGGCTTTTCTCTTTAGACTTCTGAAGGAAATGGATTTCGGAGACAATGTATTTGAGGCATCAGCTCAATCTACACATCCAAATATGCCTGTATTATTCATGGTGAATTGTCTAAAACATGTGAGATCCAAAAAGATACAAGACAAGGTTGATCCCTTGTTGCCATTGCTTTTTATTCTAGTTTTAGAACTTTTGAATAGAAACATCAGATGAGATGACAAAATAACTGCTGTGAATTAAGGAGACTTAGAAGTTAAGAGCCCTCACAGATGATTGAGCTGTATTTTTGCAAACGTTTGGATGTTTGAGGAAGAAGGTGAATGACTTTGGAATTTTGCCTGGCTTTAGAATAAACAAACAGAAAGCAAAGATGCCAGTCAAGAATATGGCTGCATACAAGCATGAAATTTAAAAAAAAATGTTTTAAGATGGAAAAGGTTAAATATATGCAAATTCCAAATTGTTTCAAAATAATTACATATTCATCTAGAATGATTAAGAAAGATTTAGTAAAGTGGGGTAAACTGCTACTATCTCTGTTGGGCATCATCTCTGTAATTCAGATAAATGTCGTATCAAAGATGCTGTTCCTATTTCAGATCCTGCCAATATTGATGATGAGGCTCCATTTAAGCAATGGCAAAAGGACATCTCTAAATTTATTTGGCAAGAAAAAAAATCAAGAGATATAAATTGTGTAGGATGCCAAAGAAATAAATGGTATGAGTGTTCCAAATTTAAAACTGTATTCTGAGGCATCTTATTTGATATGGATGAAGGAATGGGTAACCCTAAAGAATAAAACATTATTGGACTTGGAAAGTCACGAATTGAAGTTTGGATGGCACAGCTATCTATGGTATGATAAAGTTAAAATGAATGCAGATTTCAAGAATTACTTTGTAAGGCAGAAGTCCCCAAACCCCAGTCCTTGGATCGGCATCGGTCTGGAGCATGCCAGAAACCGGGCCATACAAACAAACAAAGTTCCATCTGCGGGATGCAGGCAGCACACAAAACCACACCCCCTCTGGTCCACGGAAAACTGTTTCTCCATGGATCCGTCCCTGTTGCCCAAGAAGTTGGGGGCTGCTATTGTAAGGAATACCATTTATAAAGTTTGAAATAAATACAAAGAAAAGTTGTTTACTAAACTACCTCTTTGGGTGTTACCCACAGAAGCCTTTTTTAAGATGCAGATGACAGTGAATCCTAACTGATGGATTTATAGTGAAATAATATCATTTGTTCAAGGTGAACCTACTATTAAAACAAAAGATTTGGAACTGGAAGGTTATGTTATTGGTTTACCTATTTACAGTTGAAAGAAAGGTTCACTTTAGACAAAAACAAATATGGTTTTGATGCTACTAAAATGAATTTGAAATGAAACTCTGTACCTATGATCAACATCTTATAACTAAGGTTTATAAAATGTTGTTACAATTAAACCTAAAAAGTGAATTATGTTAAACATTTAACACTCAGTGAGCAGAAATTTTGATTACAATATGATATTAGAGCAAAGAGAAAATATGTAGACTAAACGGACTGCAATTCACATTGAATTATAATTTTAAAGAGAACTTCAAACTTCAACTTCAGAAGGGTATTTCAAATATATTTTGGAAATGCAAATGTAAGGAGAGTACTTTTTATCATATACAGTGGGCACCTGACAGGAAATATTAGGTAAAGATTCATGGATTAATTCAGAAAATTTTAAAAATGGATTTATAATGGAAACCAGAAACTTTTCTTTTAGGACTATTAGATAAAGAATTAGAAAAAAAATATTGGAACTCGGGTGCTATACATGTTGACAACTGCAAGAATTCTATATGCCCAAAAATAGAAAGAAGTGTTAATTCCCACAATGGAGGAATTTATTGAAAAGATGATGGAATTGGTGGAGATGGCAAAGCTGACTGCATTAATTAGGGACAAGAATGAACTAGTTTTGATTTGGAAACCACTTCTAGACTTTATTTGGCATAAATAGAAAGTTAATATTATACCTTTACAATATATCTTATTGCAATGAAAAGACTCTGAAGTCACTGCTTTTTAAAAAAATTCTTCTCCTTCCCTTCCCTCACTTTATCCTCTCTATTCCCATTCCTTTTCCGTTTTTCCATTCCCTTTATTTCTATTTGAATTTTATATTATATTATTATATTAATAAATATTATATATATATATGTATATAACAAAGAATAAAGAGAGAATAGTATAGCTATTTCGAGTTCTTTTAACTCTCTTCAGCCAAACTTACTCTTCTGAGATTCGAACCTGGGCTATCTGCATGTTAGGCAGTTGTTATAACCTCTAAGCCACAGGCTCTCCTCACTTTGTCAGCTGTATCAGGAGAGATATACATACATACACACACACACACACACACACATGTACATGTACACATATATGTATATGTATATATACATGTACATGTATATGTACATATATATATGTACATACATATACAACACATATATATGTATGTATATATGTATATATGTGTGTGTGTACATATACATGTACATGTACACATATGTTATGAAAGCCAACAATCTCATGAAATTTCAACATCTTTTAAGACATTTATATAATTTTGGAGATCTGCAAACATTATGTTCAAGATCTGCTGCAGTCTGACATTGCAAAATCCTGGTTTGCAGGCTATTCTTCATAAATTTCTCTTCTTGACATAGTTGGGCACGAAAAGGTTGGGAACTGTAGCCTGAAGTTATATATTGTTTAAAGCAATCAACTTAAGATAGTTTGCATATGTATATGAAGGCTGTATATTACACCTCTCCTACAGAAGGACAGGAAAAGATATAGAAAATACACACATGGTTTACTGTTTTGCTGATCTGTGGCTTTGGCTTATATTTGAGGTTTGGTCTCTGTGACCAGAAAAAGGGAATTGATCCTCGTGTCTGGAAAACAAAGATAATAAGAAGTGAAACTTAACAAAACTAGCATAAATTCCCAAGTCATTTATTGTAAGATAAAATGCAGAGACGTGCATTAAAAGGGTAGGGATAAGAATTAAATTATACAGACTAGACAAGCATCCCAGCATAATAAAAAGTACCTGGACAAAAGAAGCTTTGTTTCCATTATAATGTATAATTTGTTCTGTTTCTACAAAGTTAGCTGCATGTCCTTCAGAATCAATACCTGTGAAATAGGAAGGATTTAAAATATAGAGCAAGCCTTATTACTTTCAAATCTAGTTGAAAGCTATTTTTGTGACAGCTTTCATGCAGCAAAATCTAACCAACAAAACCAAAGGGTATCACAGGACTTTTTAAAATGGTAATGATAACCTATTTCTGTTTCAGACATATTTGTTTTTTTCATAACTATGAGGTTTAAGTAGTCACAAAGGAAAATACTTCTCTACCAATTATATGTGTCAAAATGATAATAAAAATCCAGGGAACTCTAAAACTGCCTTTTAGACATGCCACTTCGGAAAGAAACTGGGAAAAGAAATGAGATAACTGTAGCAGCCCCACAGGAGGAGTTTGTTCAAAGAAAAATAAAGGTCACTAAATATATTTTAATGCCTCTTGTGCAATAGAATTATGGAAGTTACTGTCTTATCCTTCCCTCAGATCCATTTATATAAAGGAAAGATGTTCATCGATATATTTTGATTTCCACCCATCCTTCAAAGAGCGCAGCAATGCGAGGCTTTCTAGCCAAGAAGAAATCTGAAATTGTAGTTTTTCATATCAAATCTAATCTTCACTCCATTTTAAATACATTTTAAACTAAGCCTGTACTAAATGTTTGTGTGCCTGTGTGCTTGCTTCTTAAAAGCAATCTATAGCAGTTTACCACTTAGTCTTAACCAATAAAAAATAAATCAACACAAATATTAAAAGTACTACAAGAAAGTACTAGCAAATTCTCTTTTAGTACTGGCAGAAGAGTGTGGCAATTTAAGAGAATAGTTCACAAAGTATAATTTTTGCTCATATTCATGTAACAATTTCAAAGAAATATTACCCCTCACATAGTAGCGTACACCAGCTCTGAAACAGCTTCGTCGAGAAATTAGAATCCAGTCAAAGTATTTACCATTAATGGAACAAGTATGCATAATAATAACTGGTGTAAAACAGCAATTAAGGAATACATGTTAACACTTACTGAAAAAAAATAAAACATATTAGAATATTCAGTGGATATTATGAGCACAACAGCATTTTTCTGTATTCCAGTATACAATATACAGTTGCTCAACAAACTATAACTAGAAAAAATATTCTAAGCAGAGAAAGATGCATTTTTCACCCATTTTCAATTTAATAAGAAAAAAGGGTGTTTCTTATTAGTTCTGAATGACAATTAATGCATAATGAAGAAAGAGGACACCAAATAAGTAAGAATTTGATTAGGAAAGAAAACTGCTTATTAAATTTTTTCATTATTTTTTAATTTTTATCTATTTTTCAAATTTATATAGCCACCCATCTCATAAAGCAAGTGGTTTTATGTATCACAAAAAACTTATATATTTTTTAAATAATCCTAACCAACAATGTAGATCCAATATTTTTGTGGTTCGCAAAAATATCATACTAAAATGAAAAAGGCTCAGGTCTGACAGCTGAAGGACCAAGACTGATGGACCACATAATCAGAAGATAATTAAATTAAAGGAAGCAAGTATGAAATATGAGAATATATTTATCTCTTTATTTAACTGATATGTTGCCTTTTCTCCAAGTGTCCAAGCAGCATGCATAGCACTCGTTCCCCAAATTTTCCTCAAGTAACAACCATCTTATGAATTAAGACTATATATATATAGTTCTGAATTTTCATCCACAAATTGTCAAGATATTTCACTCTTTCTCTATGTATCATTTACTGAAATTCATCTGAGAGCAATCCCTCATACCCACATTAAGTTTCTATGGTAGGCAAATAAAAGGATACAACCATGTATAACTGGAACTGCAAACCTATGGAGCTAAAAAACAGGAAAATTAATATACTTAAAGAACTGTATCTTTACTATTTAATACTATTGTCTTTACAGAAAAACAGTCCTCTTATGTGTGTTTTATGATGCTTACTTATCCCACACAAATATATAATTTTGAGCCCTTTACATAGTTTATTCAGTAACTGCTATAATAAGTTTCTCAAGTTGATGCTACTTACACTGTACACTATCTTAGCACTAAGACCTAATCTGACCCATCTTCTTCTCCCATCCATCCATCCATTCATCCATTCATCCATCCAATTTCTGAGGCTGCCCACTTGCCAATGACTGTTTGGTCATGCATTCTCTCTATCATAATTACCCCAGAACTGAAAAAAAATACTTAATTCTGAGTACTGCATAACTGAATTTATCATTTTCAATCTGAAGGGGAGTGCAGATAAGAATTCTATTTCTGAGTGATTAGAGAAACTTCATCTCTTTGTTGAGGAACAGATACATCTCAAAAATTTAGTTTAATAGGTACAGCTTAAAAGAGAAACTTATAACCCAAAGTTGTATAAATTCTCTCCTGGTTGCAACTGCCATTTGCTCTTTGAACAGGAGTTAAAAGCCCAGGAGAATCCCCACGTTGAGGACCGCATCTATCTGGGGTAGTGCCACCTCATCTGGAACTAAAGATGTCAAAGTCTCTAATCTTGGGGCTCCATGCACTCACTCACTATCCTGGAGGCTTTCACATCCAGGAGTGACAAGGATCTTACTGACAGGTGATGGCACTGAAAGCATCAAGGACCCTCTCCTCTTCCTCAGATCCAACAGGCTCCAACTGTTGCCAGGCAAGACTTCTCCGCAGGCATCTAATATGGACTAGCTCCATGCATGGGCTCTAACTGGGAACAAATCCAATGATTCTGTCTATCAGGTGTTGAACAAGTTCATCTGCACAGCCCTGAAGATGATCACTCAAGCCCCCCTGCCCCAGGAAGACTTGGTGATCTGGAACAGGGCTGCCGGCAACACTCTGCAGACTCAATAAGGGCAGAGAAATAATGCTACTTTGTTGCTCTTACTGCGTGAGATAGACCTTAATAGCAGCTCTAAGTCATGTCTGGTTGGAGTCATCCATCACTTTCCTCTAGCAGCGCTCTAGGTTTCTCTTAACCCTTTTCAAAAACCACAATTCCTCTGTGAAATTTTAGATGAAATGAAATCAATATGCAACTATTCAAAGACATAACATCATAAGAAAAATAGATCCATTCTGATATAAGAGGGATACATCCATAGGAAATCTCAAGTTAAAGGACTAATATTGATAGGACTTTAAAAAGCTTCTTTAGTAAAGTTAGATTTGGAAATAATGCACAGTCGTCTTTCGTTTATTGAAATCTTTAAGTTTGCTTCTCTTTTTAGCTTCTACAATTCTTGGCTTAGAAACAGTTTCCAAATTATTTTTCCCAAATTATAAATGAGGGAGGGTAGACAAAATCTAGGAATTCCTTATATTTCTATACTGTCATAAGGAGAGAGCAATAAAATGATCACTTGCTAGTGTATAGGATAATTCATTATATAATATTATTATAAGCATAATAAATATCATAAAATTATATAGTATATAGTATATAATAAAAAGCATAAAACTGTGGTGTTTGCAACTTATAATAAAACCATTGGCAAGGAAGTATGGACAGATTCGTAAGTATTATTCTATTAAGCCAAGAGAGTTAATTAATTCATTTGATAATCAACAGTTAACAAAGAAGTTAACATATTTGCTATCTGCCTGTAGAAGAAAGGAATTAATAGTTGTGAGAACCAATAATACTAGGTCTTGGCTGTGCATAATTTAATTAGCTGTGGAAGAAGACAGCTAAATACTCTTGTTTCTGAAATAACATAATAACAATCACAAATTTAAATTTTGAACCAAAAGATATTCAAACAATTAGGAGATGTCTAATTAATGACATCATATTAAGAAGATTATAAAGTAATATTACCCTTCCATTTTTACAGGCATATATTCTGAATTTATTATTAAAACAAATGAATTCTCTTATACATCTTCACCAATGACTTGTTTAGGATGAAAGACAGCATGTATCTCCTAGCGCCATGCTGTGCTCTAGATCTCACTGAGCTCAGTTTCTTTTTTAAAAAAAACCACTCCTCCAATATTTTATCTGAATATTAACAATCTCTATTATGCTATCCTAACAAAATTCTTTCTGTATTCTACCCCACATAGTGAGTGAAGAGCCGAATCAAATATTTAGTTGCTATAGCTGCAGAAGCATTAAAATAAATTATTGGAATTTCATAAAAATTAAATTTATCTCACTATTTAAAAGAGTTTGTACAACAAAGAATGCATCATATTAGCTTGTACTGGGGCTTGCTTCTCATGTGTTGAAAAAGGAATATGTGCAAGCAAGCACTATTGATCTTCACCTTCTACTTCAGGGGTAGTCAACCTTGGCTCTTTATGACTCGTGGACTTCAATTCCCAGAATTCCTGAGCCAGCTTGGCTGGCTCAGGAATTCTGGGAGTTGAAGTCCACGAGTCATAAAAGAGCCAAGATTGACTACCCCTGTTCTACTCCCTCAAGTCCAGGTTGACTAGGGGAGTTCCTTTGGAAAGATTTAAGGATGTTTATCTGAATATGGTAAAAACGTTCAATTTTCAATGAGCCAGATGCTAACTGGTTTCTATCAATAAAGATTAACTTTATTAATTCCTATAGCTACATCAAATTATCTATGAACAAATCAGATATGCCAACCAACTACATTAGAAGAGTAATCCTCTTCTAATGTAGTTGGTTGGCATATCTGATTTGCCAACCAAATAGCAAAGCTATAAAGACACAAAGTAACATTTTGAAGATTACACCAAGCACAATGAACTACCTCAGGTTGAGCAGCAAGTTCTCTAAGAAGGTGCCCATTCCACACAAACCGTTGATCTGCCTGTAAAAAAAAAAAAGAAAAGAAAAAGAAACAGAAATATAATTAAAAACCAAGTTTGAGCTAGATTTATATTTCAGAGCAGAACTATACAAAGCTACCAGAAGAAAGTGAATCAGGATGAAATCTAGTCAGGTAATGGACTTTTGCCTTCTTCCTGCAGCTTCCCATTATAAATATGCTTCAGAGTGCCCTCTAAATACTATGGGGCAGATCTGAAGGAAGGATATAGATTTCTGGGAAGACGGCATGACTTTTCTTTCCAATCCTGCTAATAGAAGCAGTTTTATTAGTGGAAAAACGGCATAAAATTTCAATTGATCTCCAGGGATGACTAAATAAGGAACCAACCCAACTTTCCAGAAATATACATAAGAAAAGAGGACTAAGAATATGGAGTAAACACATCATGGATTCACAGAAGTATTGAAGTGACAATTTAAAAACCACCAGGCTATTAAAGTATATTATACTTTGGTCACTATGACATTAAAAATTAAAACTATCTCACTGGCAGTTTAAAAACAAAGACAATCTATTCAGTATATATATACATACACACACACACACACACACACACACACAGAGAGAGAGAGAGAGAGAGAGAGAGAGAGAGAGAGAGAGAGAGAGAAATGGAGAGAGAGAGAGAGCTGTTTTATCTGTATATAATGTCTTGTTTTTCTAAAAATTTTGAAAGAAATATTCTTACCCTCTCTAGCAAGCTCATTTCTTGAAACTCTGGACTGGTATTGGCCAATCGTTGCAAGGTGTGTGTCAAGTCATATGTTGTAGAAAAATAAAATCCATCCACACTCAATATATGACTAATCATTGCTGAAAAGACTTTATTATCCTGCACCTGATAAATGAAAAAGCATTGTTATTATTTTTGTCCCTTTTGTTACTAAGAGTTCATAAAATTTGATGAAGCGTTTTAGCAGATAATCTTCAAAAGTTTTTCTTTTCTTGGGCAGAGAGAAATACATAATCCAACTCCATTTATAATGAAGGTCATTAAAGAAATGCTAACTTGGAGGTTTCAGAAAAACTAAAAATATAATCATACCAGCTCATATACTTCTTTATTATTTTTATAAATAACTGAAGGTGGCAAACATACCTAATACTCCCCTCTTCCCCCCAATTTCCCTTCAACAACAACTCTGTGAGTTGGGCTGGGCTGAGACAAAGTGAATGGCTCAAAGTCACCTTTGACAACTTTATATCAGTTCATTTAGTGACCGTTCAAAGTTACAATAGCACTGAAAAAAGTGACTTATGACCGTTTTTCACACTTACAACCATTACAGTATTCCCAGGGTTATGTGATCAAAATGAAGATGCTTTGCAACTGACCCATATTTATGACGGTTGCAGTGTCCCGAGATCATGTGATTAACTTTTGTGACTGTCTGATAAGCAAAATCAATAGTGAAGGCAGATTCACTTAACAACCGCGTTACTAACTTATCAACTGCACTGTTTCATTTAACAACTATAGCAAGAAAAGTTGTAAAATGGGGCAAAACTCACTTAACAACTGTCTCATTTAGCAACAGTAATTTGGGGCTCAGTTGTGGTCATAAGTCGAGAACTACCTGTATTATGCTAAAAACAGTCATTGGCTTTGAAACTGTTCAAGATCCAAAAATCACACATGCAAATTACAAAATATTACGATGAAAATTCATATATAGTACAGAATTTTAGTCTATAAAGTTTTTCAAGTGGCATTGGAAAATCTGTTCTCATGAGGCCCTTTGAATCCCAATTAATGGATTAGCTGCTGAATTTCAGAAAAATTATATGTTCAACTTATCAGCAATCATGTTCTTATAGAAACATTTCAGGGATTAAATAAATTTTCATTTATTTTACATGTCCACAGGAAATTTCTAAAACATTCAAAATATATTAACTCATACCTGAATATCAGTTAAATGTAGCATTGTCTTTTTGTAAGAGAGGATGTCAAAATCAGTTGCTTTCCAGACTACATGATTGAAAAATTCACCTACTTTTCTCTTTCTTGTTATAACAATAAGATAAGTGCCTGTAAAATAACAAACGATGGGTCAGCTCTGATGACTGTTCTTCTATGTCTCATTTTTTGTAAAAAAAAAAAAAAAAAAGAGAGAGAGAGAGAGAGAAGGGTGGGCAAAGAGAGTAAAACTAATTTTCTCCCTCTTATTTCTCCCCATTATTATATTGTTATTACATATTTGTTAGATCATCCCCCCTCCCTCCTTGAAGCAGACATACTACAGGTAGTCCTCGACTTATAAAAATTAATTTAGTGACTGTTACAACGGCCCTGAAAAATGTGACTTATGACCATCTTCACACTAACAATTGTTACATCATCCCCCTAGTCACATGATTAAAATTCAGATCTTTGATAACTAGTTCATATTTATGATGGTTGCAATATCCGGGGTCATGTGATTACCTTTTTTGACCTTCTGATAAGCAATGTCAATGGGGAAACCAGATTCACTTAACAACTTTTGTTACTAATTTAACAACTGGAGTGATTCATTTAACAACTGTGACAAGAAAGGTCATAAAATGGGGTAAAACAAACTTAACAAATGTCTCACTTAACAACAGAAATTTTGGGCTCAATTGTGTTTATACGTTAAGGACTACCTGTATTAAGAACTATATTTTAATTTCTTTGCCCCCAAGGATTTTCTATGACAAAAATATATTCACAAACTGAGTTTCTACTGAATTGCTAACATTCCAGATTTCTAAAGTCCTCAATGAAAAATAAAACATTCCAGCTATACATTTTTATCAATGGGTATGCAACCTAGAGTCTACAGCCTGAATATAGGTCACCAGATACTCAGGGGAACCCTGTGTTTCCCCCTAAATTTGGCTAGTGCCATCATGTCATTCTGATTCCTCATTCTCTTCTCCTTAACCTATCTCACTGGACCACTTTCAAAATCTGCTCCATCTCTTCTTCTTTTCTCCCAAAGGAAATATGTTTGTTTGGTGCCTTTGTCTTCCTCGTATACAATTTTCTCAATCAACGCCCTTTCCCTTCCAAGGTTAAAATTAATTTGTTTTTTTTGTCCTGTCCACTTTTACCTTTCTGATATGGGTCTACCTCATTTATAGAATGATATTCAGAGATATAAAAATTGTACAACCATATTCCAATCTGTTTGCCATTTCAGAAGGCAGCAAATAATCTCCTATATGTATAAAAAACTATACTTCTGTAGCTTAACCCACGGTAAGATATACTGATTACATGCAACATGACTTTAATAACAAAATAATTTCATATTATTTTATATAGGTACTTAATAACTTATTATTATATATTGTAATAATTGTATATAGGTATTTAATCAACTAGCAGACTGAAATAACTACAAAGGTACACAAAATATTGAATATTTACTTATAAGAACCTTGAGAAAGCAATGCTCAAGTTGCATCTGAACTAGCAAAATATTCACTTTAAAAATATATAAAGTTGCAGTTCAAATTCTCTTCTTACCCTTCAATACTAAAGCATTTTGTAGACCAAATTTTGACCACTTAAATATGTACAAGATCACAAATATGTAACCTTCACTTTTATGTATTGTTATCAATAAAATAATTGTTGTATAAAATAATTATTACTTAATAAATATTAGGCAAGAGTTTTCATTGTTCTGGTTGTAATTTTATTTCACTTCTTCTGAAAGCCCCATACCTGCCACTAGACGGATTGTTCCCAAAATACCACATATTTGCCTGGTAATGGCTGAAGGTGGAATATCTTTTTTAACTGCAAAGAAAAAACAGTATAAACTGTTGTATGAAATATTGTAAGATTTAATAACACTGTAAATTACACTATGTATTTAATAATTACCATTTTATTAAACTTAAGCTTTAAAGATAACAAAAGGAGTACAAAGTGTTTTAACATCTCATATAAATATTATATATTTTTATTTATTTCACAATAAATTTATTTATTTCACAAGGTTATTTCACAGATTAAAAATTCAAAATCAACACTTCATTTAATAGTAACTGATATTAGTACTACATCATGATCAGACTTTACATACTTATAGTGGACTTAGAGAAATCTGTGGAAATTAAACTAATAATTATTAACATCTCCTTGATTTAAATGAGCCTATTTAGTATGAAACACCTCAAAACTGATATCTTCTCTGTGAAGGACTGTATGTGGCTGGATAGGATTGTTTTTGAACTACATAACATAACTGCCCTGGAGGCACTAATTGAAAGCAGAAAGCAATCAGGGGAATAAATAAAATAATTAAAATGCCAATGTTAAACAAGGTAAATTAGAACTATCCAAATCAGACTTCTACAACACAGGTGCTGTAGTAATTAAACTAATTAAATAGTACTTTTCATAGAAGTCTGGAATTATTATTCAGGCCTGGGGTTATTATTTCAGGTGTTTCTAGCTGAATCTCTGTGGAAAACAAAAACAAAACTCAAGTGGCAAAGCCAATACAATAAAACACACATCTCATATCCTTTTTGCAGTAAAAATGAGCCTAGCAGATCCACATGTAGCTAGCTCTACAAAGGAGTCCTCTCCCTCCTGGTATGTACATACCAAATATATTACTTCTTCCTACCTTAAATATTACTGGCAGTGCTTAATCTCTAGCAGTATAATATAGATAAGAAGCTAACTCGATCCTCTTCAACTTTAACAGTTTAAAGACAACTTCTCAGAAGCTTATATTTTAAAGAATTAACTTGTATATATAAGACATGTACATATCAGCTTCTGTAATTTTGATAAAATTTGCATTTTCATGCTGTGCAGATAAATAACAAATATTTTTGGGAAAATATGTCATTGTGAATGAAAATGAGTGAGAGATGTTTTAGAAATTTTTTCTACAAATATGAATGCCGCATTAGAAAATGTTTAAAGTCATGGTGAAGATACCTGTAAGAGTAATTTCTGTGGACACTCTGTCAATGGTAAGTACATCATCTGCTCCAACATCGCAAGCTTCCACGTAAAATTTTTCTGGTGTTATGTGTCTAAGATACAAGAAATGTATAAGATCACAGACAAGCAGCATAATTTTAATATTCCAAAGAATGCTTATATATACTGCTTATATATATAAGGACTAATACTAGCAATCTTTAGAACGTTATATTTCCATTTTGCAGAATAGTAAAAGTAAACAATGATTACATGATATTATCCATCTTAAAATGTTCAGGATCATTTGTGTCAATGTATTTTTGAAAACATACGAAATTCAAAAGCTTTGTTATTATTCAGCATTTGTTTTGTTATTTAAATTGTTCTATTGGAGTTTATTATGTTGGCATATATTTTGCTAGTTGATCACTCAATTCTTTAATAATAATATTATAATAATAGGGTTGGAAGGAACCTTGGAGGTCTTCTAGTCCAACCCCTTGCTCAGGCAGAAAACTCTATACCATTTCAGACAAATGGTTGTCCATTCTCTTCTTAAAAACTTCCAGTTGGAGCATTCATGACTTCTGGAGGCAGGTTGTTCCATTGGTTAATTGTTCTAACTGTCAGGAAATTTCTCCTTAGTTCTAGGTTGCTTCTCTCCTTGATAAGTTTCCATCCATTGCTTCTTGTCCTGGCTTCAGGTGCTTTGGAGAACAGCAGTGCCCTTTTCATTAAACTATACATACCCAATTCCAGCAACCTTTCTTTATATGTTTTAGCCTCCAGTCCCCTAATCATCTTTGGTGCTCTTCTCTATATTCTTTCTAAACTCTCAACGTCTTTTATACATCGTGGTAAACAAAACTGGATGCAGTATATGGCCTTACCAAGACATTATAAAGTGGCATTAAACCTCACATGATCTTGATTCTATCCTTCTGTTAATGCAGCCTAGCATTGTGTTGGCTCATATTTAAGTGATTGTCCGCTAAGACTTTAATTTGGCTTTCCTTCTTCTCTCTAATCTATTCCCAATTTACCAATATTGTGTTAGTTATGATATAGAATAAGTAGCAAAAAACAAAATGTAAATAGTGATAAACAGATATATGGGTGCAAAATGGTGTGATCTAAGAAATGTTTAAATAGGCCTGTATTTGTTTATTTATTCATTGGTCATGGACAAGTTAAAGAGTTTAGTTTAAATTACATACAACCTTCTTTGCCATAAAGCAACTACCATAATGGATTCTATTTTTATGTTCATTAAAAATGGCATGATCCAGTAAGTTAAAAAGAGGGATTTCAACTCCAATTTCAATGAGAAAATAACTAAATTTTATTGTTAGCATAATAAAAATTATGCTTTATTGTCAGTAAAACATGAAGAGGATACGTAAGAGAACTTCACACATCTGGATCCATTATGCTGACAGAAGTCTAATACACTCATAAATGATTACAAAGAGTATCACCACAGATAGTTGGGCATTAACAGGCATGTAAAGTAGGAACCATTTTCCCCTGAAAAATAAGACTGGGTTATATTAATTTTTGCTCCAAAAGATGCATTAGGGCTTGTTTTCCAGTTTGGGCTTATATTCGGGGAAATATGGTACTAAATCTGTCTGACTGACAATCTTAACTGGAGCTTATTTTTGAAGTGGAGCTTAAATCAAAAGCCAAATTCTGATCTAAGAAGAGAAATATTCTGCCCTAAAATATCCTAATTATTTACTCTCTTTTCCTTTTCTTTTAGTTGGCTTTTAAACAACAACACAATATGGTTTTTCTTTTCCTTTCATCTTCCTTTCTGTATGTTGGTCTATAACCACAGATTGAATAAATGGGGAATAAAACCTGGAACTGAACAGCATCAATGAAACAGGATACCTTCTCTTCTTAACTGAATTTTCCTTTGTTATGAATTTTGCTATTCTCCCTGTCTCCAGGATGTTAGTCAAAAATTAGTGGAATTCATTTCTCTATTCTCTTGAAGTTAATGTTTAAGTAAGACAGGCACAAAAATTGGAATAAAAATGTTTGTATTTGATTTAAAGCATCAATAGCTACTCTTCAGTCTAAAATTAATACAAAGTAGTAAAACCTAAAAATTTCAGTATCTCAGTAAAATTTATGGTATGGCCCTCTTTCCTCTATCTCCATCTGCTTCAATTATGTAGACAGCAGCATGTCAGAACTTTCATTTAATTTGAACTTCCTACATACAAATCTGATGATATTCATGATTAAGATCAATATGTAGCATTACCTTATTTGGAATATCATATATATCTGAATATTTCTGGCTATATTTAAATAGCACAACATCCCCAGTGCTATTTCTGGAAACATTTAAAAGACACAGAATCTCAACTGAAATGATATTATGCAAGAGGTAATGGAATGCAGCAGAGGCACACCACTTCGAAAAATTAACAGTCATCTGGGATTTCCATATTCTCCAAAGCACCTTTCTCTTTCCTCTCCTGCCCAATTAAGTGGAAAGATACTATGGATTGACTTTTTAGTGCTCTGTAATGGTACCTAAATATAGCATTGCATTAAGTGTCATATAAGAAACCTCTCAGCTTTCATTATGCCAAACCTGATTGTAGTAATGAGCATATTTTCTTCAAAAATGCTTAATATCTTTTTTAAAAAATATAACACAAATAGTGGCTGTCATATATTAAGAATCCAGAAAAAAAGCAGTTCTACACTGGGCAATACAGATGGAGCTCCTTTTGTGAATTTCAGCCAGATTAATTTTCATCTTAGTTTACAAGGATATTGCTACAAAGATAAAACAATGGGGGAAATCCCATTTGCACAAAAAAACTAATACAAATGTAATAAAAAAGCATAGCATAAAATCTCAAAATACTTAGGTGGGAAATTACCAGGAAATCCCAAGAGCTGAAAACTAGACTGAGAAATTATAAAAATTCTTCAGAAGTGTGCAATGACAAAATCATTTCATAAACCTAGGTTTCCCATAATTTCTTACATTAATTTTCCATCTTCCTCCAGATATTGAAGGCAGCATACTAACTGACATGTTGACCCACCCTTTTTTATTTTCACAATAACCTTATAAGGGTGCAAGAAATCACTGGCCTAAAGTCACTTGGTGAGCTTTACTATCGAATGGAGGTTTAAAAATTGTTTCCCCTATCCTACTATAGTGGTCTAATCATGACCTGTAGTCAACCTGGCAAATAAGATGCTTCATTTTTTTCTTTCTCCTAGATAAGATAATGAGGCAACAAGATGAAGGAAAAAATTGGTGTTTAATGCAAATCAGATTTAGCTCTGGGTATGACAGTTGTGAACAAGGGCACAACTCAGAAACTATTTATAAAAAAAAAAATAGCCAAGTTGCCTCATCCTATACTAAAATCAAGATTACAGTAGTCTTGAGGACTTTAATTATTTGCAAAGTGAATTAATATAAATAATTTATAATACTGATGCTCTTAGATTCTTGTCACTCCCCTAAGCACAAATATGTTAATAATAAAAAGTAAGACTGAATCCTATTTGAATACGAAGTTTTACAAGGTTGTGGTTCTGAAATAGAGAAGGAAAGAAAAAAAAAAGAGTCAAAAATAGTAATTCTAGGAATCTAAAAGTATGAGTTCCTTATTCGGTATCAAAAGCAGTAATCATATTGCTGAATGCATAAATAAATTGACTAGTTTAATGAATCTGCTTACAAAAAAACTTGTAGGAAAACACCTAAGTTGGATGGCAATCAAAAGCGTGGAAATGATTGCAAATTTTGGGAAAAAATTATAGAGTGTTTGTTTTTCTTCAAAGGACCCAAAGCAAAGAACCAACCTGACCCTTCATAAAGGCAGTAAACTGAACTTCTGTCATCTCCCACAGTCCCATGGAGATAGCAGCTGGGACAAGAAAGCTGAAAGATGGATATTAATATACTTCACATTTCAGCAAATTAGCAACTATGTAAAATATCTTAGCAAACTGATAGAATGTAGAATAATCTGTCAAAACATTAAGGTACTATAACTCCTATTTGGGGAAAGATTGGGAAAGGAAAATATAAGAAAGAGAAAATGCCTTTTTTTTCTAAAGAAAAGTCTGCTTTCAAAACCTCAACCTCATAAAATGCCCATATAAAACAACTTTCTCAAAATCTTTTAGTTTCAAGTATGGGCTTTGTGCCCTTTATATGACTCTCTAACATTCTATACTAATATTGAATAATTTTAATAATAAATCAAAAGAAGTACAAATTCCTTGATATTCTAAAAACCAGCTAGCAAGGCAAATGTTTTTCTTGATACAGTATAATTTATACTGTTTCATCAACAGCAGGGGTGTCAAACTCAATTTCATTGAGGGCTGCATTTGTATTGCAGTTGCCCTTGGGAGGCCAGGTGGGTGTGGCCAGGGTAGGTGAGGCCTACTGGGTGGGCATTGACAGAGTAGGTGTGGCCTATTGGGTGGACATGGCCAGCTCTACATCGTTCGTGTCAAGGGTACCTGTGGGGGCCTGGGCAGGAGTGGGACAGATCTGAGGGTCTCTGCCAGAAGGGGGGTGGGACCAGGGAAAGTGTGAAGGCATGGTCCACTGGAGGAGCCTCATCGTTCCTCTCAGACCATACGGGGGGACTGGATGGTAGTGCGGGCTGCCCAGCCTGGCCCTTGAGCACCCACAGCACAAAGCCCAGTCCCACTTCCTAAGGGGGCGCACAGTTGCACTTACCTCCTCAAGGCTGCTGCTGCTGTGCTTGCTCTCCTTAGCCAGGTTGTTCATGATGGGTACGAGGACAAAGTCAGAGGGAGGCCCATTCCCTCTCCATAGGAAGAGACCCAGCTTTGTATCTAAAGCTTCCTTAGTAATAAGATGGGAGACCCCCAGGATAGGACAGGAGGAGGGGGCAAGAGGATGGTAAAAGGGCAGCAGGGCAGAACTAAGGCAGGACTTCCACCAGACCCTCCATCTCCTTCTTTCCTTTCTTCCTGTCTAAGTACAGAGTGGTGGGAAAATATTTGAGATGAGGGAGGGAGAAAAACAGGCAAGAAACGCAGCTGTGGAGGTGTCACCCTTCGTGAGGAATGAAGAAATTGCCTGGAA